GGGAAAGAGAAGAAGGGGTCTCTTTCCTCAAGATAAAGATTGTATGTGATTTATGAGATGACTCAATACGGAAACTGGTGTCGTAATAATAATTTCTCATATCTTTCCAAGATCATTGTCTTCCACTTGAAGGTTTGAAGGATGAAGTGATTTATAAATTTGCCTTCTGTGTGAGCCTGCCTATAGCGGTACCTTATTTGTGTCACTGTCAAATACATCTTCCTGGTGCAGCAAGTAACTCAGGAAAGTCATTGTCGCAAAATTTAAAATGACAGCAAAGGACATAATGATGTGACCTAATACATCACAAGGTTATTTGCATGCGAAGTGTAGTACATGAATCATGTGCATCTCAATTGAATATAGAGTTTGTTTATTTTTGTTTTATTTTCTGTTTATTATTTCTGTTGATTTTTTATTTATTTTCTGATTTTAGGAAGCCTTATATGATTACTAAGTACTCACTAAGACTACTTTGCTTAGGCCATGACCTCAAAATGCAAATTACTAAACCAGTCATACTTTTTAGTAAATATTAGATCTATAGATCGATTCTGTATTGATTATTAGTGTCATAAAGCATAATGGTGTGGATACATTCCAAGTTTTATCAGTAGCAAATAACTGATACTGCATTTTGAAAAAGTAAAGATTAAAAAAACAAGTCAAGTGCAAAGAAGAAAGTAATGAAAATGAAGGGCTGTTTTATTTAAAACAACCTCTTAGGTCAGTGATGGAAGGAGTGCCTGTGGATGGCAGTATCTTACTGGTTATTGTATGTTCATAGATAAGTATAGCACCAGAAGGACTATCCAGTATGATCTCATATTTCACAGGCTATGTAATCATCAAGTTGAATGGTATAAAATATCAGTTGTCAATTTGACAGGGCCCAGTAGCTCAAACTTCTCATATATCAGCAAGATTGATTTACTGAATGTGTAAGGAATAGGTGGATCAAAGGCGTTTCTTCTCAGCTCAGGTAAATGATGGTTATCATGCTTTAAAATTGTATTACTGTTAAGATTCCAGTGTACTTAGACTTTACAATTGCAAAAGAAGGGTTATACGTAGGGCTTTTTAATGTATTCACTCTTCTTATGTCCTTTTTTTTTTTTTTTTTTAATTTGTGTATATTCTCCTGGCTGAAGTAACAGTGCTTGGTAATTCATTCCAAAAGCACAGAATTAAATGACTGTATTCCCAACAAATTGCCCGTTCCACAAAAGATGAGTTTTGGAGAAGCCACAGTTTTTCATGAGTTTGGACTGATCTCAGCTGAAACATGATTAAATAAATCCATAGTTTTGGAAGTGGCAAATGTGAATTTCAAGCTAGGCTTACAAAAGTACTTGGCATCGTGCGTAAAGGAGAGGAGGCAGAGAGGAAGTCACTGAGCTTCGCCTTATCCTTTGGAGCTCATCAGTTGAGAGCGAGCTCATCAGTTGAGAGCCTGGTGCCATGCTTGCCTGGTTCCTGGACATCTCGGACTCAAATACTATCCGAGTAAAGACTTGACCACGAGGGCACCCCAGCTGCTGGCCCATTGTGTGTGGAACGACAGGTCTCTCGAGATTTCTCCTGTTGAGTAGTGCTGCTTTATTTGTATGATTAACATATGCTCGGTGAGGAAGTGTGAATGTCAGCAGAGCTGGAACAGGAGGCGCCCACCAGCACAGGCAGTCTTTGTTCTTATGCACTAGCTGTCTGCACACAGTAACCCACATCTGTCTTCAGGACTGGAGCTGTCTATGTCTATCTGCTTCCCATGCAAAGAGGAAATGTGTAACACTTCACCCTCTCAATTTCAAGAGTCATTTTAGTCGCATCTGTGTTCTCAAACTTTAGATTCGATACTTCAGATAGACATGCAGTTAGTGTGCTCTGTACAAGTGAATGCCTTATATTCTAGCTTGAAATGCATGTGTAAAGTTACATGCATTTGAAATGCTTTTTTAAAATGACTGATATCAAAAAGATTAATTGAAATGATAATTAAATACTTAATGTTTAATGATAGTTAAATACTTAAATGCTTTTAAAAGTGCTAACTATTTTGAAACTTGGAATTTATCAAGAAAATATTAGAAAAAAAGATTTGTTAAAACCCATCCTTGAGTATTCTAGGGCAAGGTGTCTTACACGTTGCCAGCTCCAAATTGGGCACAAAAGCAATCTAAGCACATGGCAATTCTATTAAACCGTTTGAGGAAACTGTCCTTATATCTCTGCTCTTTTGTGAGTAATATGCAGGTCACTCTATAAAGCTAGCCTTTCATTTCCGAATATGCTTGCTTTTGTTTAAGTATCCAAATCAAAAAGAAATGCTTCAGCTCCAACTGTTTTTCATATCTTGAAATGTTTGGTTTTTTAGTACTGTCAACCACACAGTTATTTGCACTCCTCTATTTATGTTTTATATAAAAAGTATTCATTGTTTTTATGTGTCCATTTTTCAAGTATTCTGATAAAATTATTTTATTTTTAATAAAACTATTTTATTTTTCCCATAGCATGTGCTGATTTTTGTTCCTGTCAAACCTGTCCTTATTTAGTGAAATTGCTCTCAAAGTTGAGCAGCTCTGATCTTGTCACCACTACACAGACGTTATAAAGGACATCTCTAATTGCCCCTTTTCCCACCCCTTCTGCTTTTTCTTTACCTATTTTAGTTTATGGGAACATAAGGGGATGATATTTACCTGGAGAGAAATGGCACATGGTTTTAAATGCAAATGGTATATTTTTAGTATTACTATTATTTAGTACTGCTGATAGTTATATCATATTTTAGTGATATTACTTCCAGATTCTGTTCATTGTTTTCATAATTTTCTTAATGACTGCTTTCAGTCGAACAGAACTGCATTGCCACTGAACTGCAGGTGTTCGTGCCCAGATTTTTTCTTGCACACTTACCATCAGTATCACTCTCTCCCTTTCATGAGTTTTTTTCCCCCTGAATAATATGCGTTCTTGCATAGCTGTCAAAACTGAATCTAAGTTGTCACTTTATTCTCAAATGATTTAGGACCTTGTGGATATGGCATCCATTCCCAAAGAGCCATTCCTTCCCTCACCACACACACCTTTAATTTACAAATTTGCTTGAGTGTTTCTTTTAAGCTTCACCAATATCTGAAAATACGCTCTCTATATTATGTGAAATGAGTGGGTATGTTTTATATTGCTAGAAGTTCCCGAGGTAATGTCGGATGGAAATAACTAGTTTAGCAACCCTGAAATCTCTTTATTCTTTTAAAATTTTCCTTTTTTACCCCTTGTATTGAAGGAGAGTCCTTCTCTTGTGAATCATTTTTTTCTCCTATGCTAAAGAATTTATGAGTCTACTATGTTTAATTTTTTCCCCTTTTCAAAAATACATTCTTTTTCGTAATTTACTCTCTCATATTCCCCTTCTTTTTTTAAGAAAACACATATGACATACAGTATTGATGCTGTCTATCTTGAAATCTATGACAGTTCAGATAGGCTTGAGCTGCACCTGTTCTGAGTCCAAAAAAAAAAAAATGTAATTTTAGTCATTTTTGACTTACATTCACAAGTTGTGGGATCTTATTAACTCCCTTTCCAAAACTTATGATTAGCTAGTCTTTGGCATGACTTCTCAAATGGTAATGGTGGAGTTAACATCATGTTTATTGCTGCTTGGTAGCTCCAATAGTTTTAACCCAAATTCAGAAGTTAAAAATATCCCTGTGGTGAAAATTCCAGAACTGAGATTTTGTCCTGTGATTGAATTAGAACGGCCTCCTGTTTGCTGCAGAATTAGATGTTCCATGGAAACAAATTAAAGTGTAAAGCATTTTCTCCTCTTGCGACGCTAGACTTATTTGAGTTGGAGTGCCTGAAGTATCCGTTGTTTCTCTTATTATACTTAGTTGTTTGTTCAATTTCTCTCACCAATAAGTGCTTAAAACTCCTTCCCTCTTGCATAGCTGTAGGTCAGGGTATTCATCTGAAGTTCGACAGTGAGACAGAAACGCTAATATTTTCTCTGACATATGCTTGGTGCGAGCATACATTTTTCTTTTCAGAGTAAAGCAATGTATGGTTTGTATACTGTAACTAATACAAAACCATCTATTTCAGCTGTTTTTCCTACTGTTCTTTTCTTTTAGGAAAGAATAAAATGTTATTTAGGTTTTTCCTTGCTTTCTGTCGTCTGGAGATAGGAGTCCTGTTGTTCCTATGCAGGCCTTGAATGATTAAATAAATTCTTCAATCTCAATTCTGTATGTCTAGTATCACTAGAGATCTAGCAGACTTATCTACCCTATCATGACTAGATACCTCGTAGCCTATGGTCTAGTCTTGTAAGAAAGAGCTCTTCTTTACTTGCAGAGAATTGGAAGGATAGATTAACTTTGAAGTGCCTGAATGTAAGAAACTGAACACGTTATCTAAAACTGGACACAACAAAGACAGCATTATCTGAGCTTTTCTTCACAATTACTGATACATGAGTGCATTTAATCCTAACCTGCGACAGCCTTTGTTATCTCGGTCTGGACCTGAAATTGCCAGCTGTGCCATACTCTTTGGTAATTATGTAACATGAATAAATATCCACTGGGAACTAGGACAAGAGCTCCAAAAATCTTTTTAATTGATCCATGAATTAGCCATAAACAATGGTCTCTAGGCATGCATAACTTGAGCATGTAACCGTGTCTTCTACTTAGAGCCTTCCTGCCTCCCTACATTATCTCATACAGTCTCTGTTAGGGGAACCCCTAAATAAAAAGAATGTAGATTACTGCAAGGACATTAGCGTGTATATAAGTTATGATCGCTTAAGCATCTTCATAATACACTTTTTTATTGACTGTCCGTGGATATTCTGTCCTGTCTCGTCTGTTCACTGAAGTTTACCAAAGTGGATATTGAGCGTATAATGAAGACGGCAAAGGAACATCATTTTTTTCATGTAATCAAAGTGATAATACGATTTCTTAGTTTATTTAATAAAACACTTTATTTTATTTTCTTCTACTGCATGAACTTTTGCCCTGTTTTGTTGTTCCAGGAGGAATTCAGTGCCCAAATAGTAGTGCACTACAGGAAACACGCAGCTGTAACGAACACTCTTGCACTGTGTATCATTGGCAGACTGGACCATGGGGACAGTGTATAGAGGATGCTTCTGTGTCTGCTTTCAACTCATCTACCAGCTGGAACGGGGAGGCCACCTGTGCTGTCGGGATGCAGACAAGAAAAGTAATCTGTGTGAGAGTCAACGTGGGACAAGTGGGCCCAAAAAAGTAAACTTCAAAAAACCTATTCTTTCATATTGTAATTACCTTGGTATTTTGCTTCTTTAAATGTATATGATCAAATGACTCCATGCAAAGACAAAATACCCCATATCTTTGTCATATGCGTTTTCATGAATGAAGAAATCATCTTTTAACAGTACAAAACCAAAGTTACAGAAGGACTGTGAAGTATCTTTCTCACTGTTGATTGCTATGGATGATATTTACAGTGGTGAGTCTGCTGACCGCTGACTGATTGCTAGATCATCAGGTCGAGCCAAGATAAAATTTCTGGGGCATACGTGTGGTGTGCAGTGCAGCACTATTTTAGACATCCTTGAGTTAGATTCAAGCAAGAGGTGTGGGTTAGTGCGGTGCCACGTAAACATATTATTTTGGGTCTAAACCCAGTACAGCCCAATGCTCCTTCTCAGAAGCAGACTAATGAGCTCAAAGATAGTACAGTTGACATGGCAGTGTAGAAATAACTTTAGTTTGAAAGCCTTTTTATACATGGGTGGTTTCTTTTTCATATATATATATATATTTATAAGTAGTCCCTTTGGCCCAGTGATTTACTTTTGCAGTTTAATATATGAACAGGGCTAAATACAGAATAGCTACTAGTAGAATGAATTTGATAATATCTCCATAGAGTTTATCAGGCTGTGAATATATTTCATTTTGAAGAGATTCAGAGCTGGAATAGCTGATAGCAGAGGTCTTTCAGAAGGTTCGTGAGGCAGCTATTCCCATACTAAATATTTGCACAGTGCCTGTCATTTCTTGCTATATTCAGGAATAGTAATTCCTAATTTAAACGGAAATATGGAGAACAATGCTAGCATATTCAGCGATCTGAATTGTTATATGTGTACATTAAGCTGCTATTCTATCCAGTCATGTGGTACTATTATATCTTCTACTTGGTACTCATTGTAGATTAAAAAAAACCCTACAATGATTTATCTTCTTATTTTTAAATCTGCTGTTAATGTCTCTGCCTTTGATTTGACCTTAAATTTTTGGGAGGATGACCATTGTATTGTATCATAGATAAATCCTGTGAAATAAGAACAAAAAGCATTGGCTGATACTTCAAACTGTCACATTAAAATTGGTCTGTCGTTTTTACAGAACAAGACATTTGACATGAAAATCTAAATAAGAACCTTGTTTTAAACTCCCCTTAATAAAAAGGATTACTTTGGTATGATACAATCAATATTATTGGCCTTATCTACCTCACAAGTTACAGACTTCAGCCTGTATCACTCCTGTTTAATTTGACCTTGAGTAAGGACTGCAGAAAAATCAATATTTTGCTTTAAGCCACATATACTAAACACAAGCAATATAAAAGATAGCAGTGGGGTTCTAATTGAACTAATTGCCTTATTCAAGGATCTGAGGAGGGATTGCAATGTTCAGTGCTCCTGAAAGGTGAAGTTCTCAGTGAAACAGTGAATACATACAATTCAAATTTTGTGTATGTATGTTGACAATAGTTCTTTAAGGAAAAAGCCATTAGTAAGGCAATGTTCAGTACTTCTCAGAAGCATTTTCCATTTTAACCTTAGAGAAATTTTCTGAAAATATACTTACTGTATGTAAGTGGTGGCAGATAATTTTTTAAAGTGTATTGACTATATATATGACACACACATGCATACATAATCTGATTTGTTGAATTCTATGTAAACTAAAAGGCAAAATTTGACTTAAAAATAGAGAGAGGGGCTATGAAGAAGTGATGAAAGTCTATGTTGGTATAGCTGTAATATTTCAGGGTCCTTTGCATTAGCGTTTATAGGGGATAAAACAGAAAGGGTAGAGACATCATTATAAGAGGAGCCTCATTATAACCAAGAGCTGGCACTGCCTCACAGGAATGGATCATACTTGGAGAATTGTATGTGGATTGATGTGGAAATGCAGAGGCGCCTCGTGGAAATCATGAACTAGCAAACATTATTGCTGAACGCTACATTCCTGTAAAGCTGCAGCTCATCTTTCCTTCCTCTATTTACCCCTCCTCCTCCTTCCCCACTGACACAGGTGTAGTTCTCCCCAGGACTACAGAGAACACATTTTCTTGGTAGTGGCAGTTCATCATAACTTGCCTGGGCTCCCTCCAGCCTGGCAGGAAAGAGGCTTCATGCAAGCCAAGCTCCCCTAACTGATCCAATCCAAATATAAAATTGGTGTCTCATCTCTCTGGTCCAAGATCCACAGCAGCCAGCAGGAAGAAAAGCTGATAATAGTAATGCTTTTCTGCAATGAGCCAAAAGCTCCAAAATGTAGGAGTGATGTTTTCCTTACCTCTTTATGTAATCCTCCTACCGTCCACATAGTATGCATTTTTAAAATTATTCTAAAGATTTGCAGTGCATCTGTAAGAGCTGTTAACTTTTTCTGACAACCAGTATTGCAGCTTTGAGAGTTTTTTGTTCATGATGAAAACAGGGGAACGTGGAACTAGGAAAATGAGCTGGGTTAATGAGTCCCATATGTGGCAGTCCTATAATCCTTTTTTATACTGATCAAGCCTCTTTCTAAAACAAGCAGAATTATATGTCCTTACTGACAGTCTTTCACAATCTCATTGATCTGGTGGTTTGAAACCTTGTTCTGGTTTGTGTCATAATCATGACCAGCTTATACCTATTTGTTCTTGTGTTAGCAATCTTTCTTAGTTTAAATATCCCTCCCTGCGGAGTTTATGCTTCTGGTAGATTTACAAAGAGCTGGAAATGTATTTTGCTAAGCTGAACTAGAGGAGCTCTCTTTATAATCTTTTGGAAGTTTGAAAATGGCATGAAAAAGGCAGAGCTTGGAATGGTGAGTGAAGACCTGTGATTTTGGTGTGTTAAATGCCCAGGTTTAACTGGTTTTGGCTTGCTTCCACGAGATGTATTTAAATTATAACAATTTTTATTTCTAAGCTCAATCCTGGTGAATTCTGGGCCACTAGCACTCCCATTGAGTGCCTGCAGGCATTCAGTGTCTCTCATGGTTCACCACTTCATGTCAGAATGATTGTTTATTTGATAATTCTTCTTTTTCCATTTTCAGATGCCCGGAGAGTCTTCGACCAGAAACAGTGAGGCCATGTCTGCTTCCCTGTAGGAAAGACTGTATTGTCACTCCATTCAGTGACTGGACATTGTGCCCTTCTTCGTGTCAAGAAGGCAAGTTTACCTATTGTGGTCCAGTGGACAGATTTTAAGGAAAAAGTAGTCAGTCTCATAGTCACTTTTGGCATAATATTTATACACATCTGTTTCTGAAACAGGATATGTATTAGCTGATATAAAAGTTGCAGAGAGGAAATAATATTCTTACTGAATATTGTGGAATAGTTTATTCAGTAGCCTCTAAAACCCATTGTAATTTGTAGTTACAAAGTCTGGTCTCAGAGGCCTGTTCAAAGACATCTTCCATTTTCTGATTTATTTATATATATTTTCTGTAAGCATTTCTTTCTTTGTTTTTTGCCTGTTTTTATGTTACAAACTCCCTTTTGCATCTTCCATTAATAAACAGATGGTTAGTCGCAGAGCAGACACACATCTCTCAGTATAACAACAAAATAGATACTAGTGCAACTGTAGAAACTGCATAGCATTTTGTAATTGTCTAATACAGACCATATTTTGGTCTTTGAAAGTACATATGCTGCTAGCTCTTTATAAAACCTGAGGCTTTATACCAGGAGATATATTAATATATATATTTATTTATATATCTATTTATTTTGCAAAACTCTTTCATTTTTGCCTATGCTACTTTATTCTACCTCAAAGAAAATTAAAGGAAAGTTGGTCAGAATCAGCAGAGTTTTAGCTGATGTTAATAGTCACACTTAAACATGCATGCCAAGACTATTTTAATACATTTGGCAAAGCTTTTAAAAACATTGCAGCTGTCTCTTGAATTTTTATTACATTGAAATCATACATAAAGCTAAAGTGATGGCTGACTTCTTATTGTCCCCATCTTTCTGCCTTATTGTTTTTTCTCTTTTAAGCTTAAAAGGAGGTATTTTTCAAATATGTATTATTATAGATGTAGTCAACAGCGTAATTCCATGTTCCACAGGGTGCTAACCCCTGCATGGGGGGGACGTGGTGATTACTCGCAGCTACATATTACCAGAATGGTAGATATTGTTGCATCAAATATACACACTTCAAATGTCACAGTCAATTCTTTATGCTTTATAAAGGTCAGAAGCATAAACTCATTTTTGCGGTAGTTCCTGTTAGTGCTTAGCACATTCTAGCAAATAAAAAAGGGTTAGGGTGATTACATTTAAAACCCTTGAAAAAGAACAATGGTTAAGACCACCGAAAATGAATCCATGAAATATTGGTTCATTACTTAAATGCTACACTACCTTAGAGCAATATTAACAGTTCTGTCTGAAGCATTTTTGTTGGGACAGATCTTTTCAACAGAAGTGCCGCTCTCCTCTGTTTTCGATTCTGTGGGTTTTAAGAGAGTTCTTGATGCAATGGGCATATCTTCATGAACATTGACTACAAACTGGAATATGTTCTGCTATAAAATAGTAAATTTGTTATTTAGTATGGCCATGTTCTCTATTCCATGAGTCAAACAGTGTCTTTATACTCCACAAACAATCTTCATTTCATGGACTTTACCCATGTGTGTCGGCAAGCCAGTCAGGGGCTTCCCTGCAGTTCTGGTCTTGTCCGTTGTGCCAGCTCCTGGCTTCTCTGGTCACTGATTTATTCTCTAATGCAGGGTTCCCTCCACACTGAAGAATGACCAGGTGTTGGAGATCCACTGTCATGATTTTCCTGCTGCCTGCTCCTAATTATGATTGTTTGGATATAGTCCAGCACATTTCTGTGTTCAGACAAGCAGCAGCTGCTGTAATAACCCACCCAAGTCTGATATCAGCCTAGACAGCCAAATCTCTGCCTTACAACTCTCTGCAAAAAGGGAAAAAAAAATCCAAGATATTTACCTAATACTACTTATGTATTAGATGTTGCTATGGAATGAATGTAAATTTGTGGTTTTGTTCTTATTTTTCTGCCCGGATCTGTGATATCTGAATATGACTGGAATCAAAATTCCTACAGGAACCGTTTAGCATTTATCATTAATAATGAATAACTATAATAATTAAAACCTGTGAACTGTAAATTAATTCAGGATTAGGGAAATAAAGCTTCACGTTTAAATGTGGATTTTGCTCTTTAGGAACATTTTTTGTGCATCTAGATAGAGTAATGCTAGTCCCAGGTGAGAAATGAAGCAAGGAACAGGATTAAAGCAAAGGCTGGATAGAACTAGGAGTGTCGATTAAATTTGCTGTAATCCTGGCCTTGGAGATAGATTTTCTGATTGAGTCATTTAGTGAATGGGAAATTTGCGAAATATAATAATTTCTTTCTTCTAATTTCTAGTTCTAGTTCTGCATCTTAATGATTAGGGTAAAATTACCCTACTGCAGAGTATAGTATCAAACTGAGCTGGTTTACTTTTTGTTTATTTGAACAGTGTATTCATTTGTATTGCTACTATTGCTTTCTGTTTAGTTCTGCTTCTTGGGCTTTAGTGAGATTAAAGTATTTTATCCATTAGATCTAATGTTCTGCTTATGGACAAAATAGCATGTCTCTTTCATAGCAATTGACTCAAGTACCTTAAATGTCTTAAGTCTTATTTTTCCCCTAATTACTGTCATCCCTATAAAATAGCAGAGGAGACAAGTTCTTCTACTCTTTGCAGGGGATGTCGCAGTAAAGAAGCAGTCCCGACATCGAGTCATTATCCAGCTCCCTGCCAACGGAGGTCGTGAATGCCCAGATGCTTTATTTGAGGAAAAGGAATGTGAAGCACCTCCCATCTGCTATAACTACAGGTACTGCTAATCAACCAAAGCCAGCTTATCTATAATTTTTCAAGCTGCACTTCCCCTGAAGTGTGTTGAATTTCACTTATTAAGAAAAAAAAGGAAACATAGCTAAATCAAGATTTCAGTGCAGTTACGTAGACTTAGTTGGGCCCATAGTGTATCAGGCTCACTGTGAGAACATTTTGTTTCCTTTAAAGTGGAATCAAGTAGCTTGTTTTGTTCCAGCTCCTTTGTAGGAACATTGCAACTGCTGGGACTTGCTTTTCAGGATAAATCTTTCCTAGCAAGTATTTGGAAATTCTATATGATTAAAAATTTTTCTTTCTAAATTATCCAAACCACTGAAAAGCGGCCACGTTTGTTAATCAGACTTGTGTTCTGCTGCCACTCAGGAGGGCTGTGTCCTCCATCCATCAGCCCTGAGAAAATCCCTCCGCTGATATATATCCCCTAGTATACAAAACTCTCGTTGTTGACCTAGCTGTCACCAGAGAACACTAAGGACTATTCCAGCAGGTGGGATTCTCCAGATTAACTAGTTCAGAAAATTTTTGGGCAGCTTTGCAGTATCCATCTGTGTAGCTTGGGAAAGTCTAGACATACAGCAAGATCTGGCTGTTGAGATAGGCAAAGTTTAGACAGTTCGGTTGAGGTTAGTTGGATTTACTTGACAAAATAAATTCTTCATTAGAATTTGTTTTGTAGAAAAAGAAATATATTTGAATTGGAAGGCAGTGAGTTGGAAGTCCAATTCTTTGAATTGGAAGAACACTTGCTAATTCCTATAAAACTACTGTCTGTTGCAAGGATACTAATAGGACTAGTTTTATTTTAGCCAAAAGAAATTGAAGTTAAAACAATATGTTGCTTTCTTCAACCACTAAGGATTATCATTGCAAGTTTATTAGGAGATCACACCATATCCAGCTGAAAGGTATAAAAGGATGTTAAAACAGTATTGTGAAGCTACCAAAACGAGTGCTCCGAACAACAGGGAATGCAACTCGAAAAGTTATTCTGGTCAATATTGGGGTCAGAATTTCATCTTTTAAAGTTCTAGCTGATCCCCATCTATTTAGTAATTCATGATCAAATGTTACTTTTGCTAGGGCATAACACAGTGAGTAGAAGTAACAAGGTTAACTAGTGAGTGGTAGATGTGGTAATTTAAATGTCTTGATGTAAACTGATAATAACACATTTTCCCTATATTTCCATTAACGTTTTTCTGACCTACACACATGCTGTGACAGATGGACTCACACACTCAGCTTTACTCATGCCTTAGTTTAGATACTGACTAGCAAGGGCCTGGTTTGCAATGAAACTTGAGCTACACAGCCATTTGTTATAGATCACTTAAACATGAGAGCAGAAGATTATTTGAATTGTGAATGAAGGGTATTTTTTCTCCACTCTGAGCAAAGCAAACCAGAGTGGATTATTTCAGAACTGTGGCAATAATCAGCCCTCCCCGCATTTTTAAGGCTTGAGGTATGCTGCAGTGCTATGAGGGAATTTTTTTTAAGTTTTGTAAAAATTTAAGTTAGTGATTGAATACTTTAAGCAGCACAATATTGTATTTGTTACCAAAGTTATCTGCAAAGTCTTTATGCTGTGGGGTTTTTTTTTTTTTTTGGCTGCAGGCTGGGGAACCTGTTCATACTGTGTTGGATCTCTTGGTTGGATCCCCATTTCTGAGATGCTGCCGCTCAGCTGCTCTAGGGCATTGTGGGATCGCCTGAGGCGCCCTTGCAGTGATTTGACCCTACTGTCCCAATGCTCTGCCGGAGCTGGTGGGATTGCTTTTTCCTTCTGATTTCATCTTTTTGGGACAGCGTTTGGAAGGCTAAGCTTAGCAAAGGAATTGGTTCATTGTGAAAACTTTACCCTTAAAAACACATCATTTGAAAATAGTTGAAAACAAAGCAAAAATCCTAGAAATTTCCTTATCTGACTTGATCTTTTTCTGTAACTCCAAGATTTTTCTGTGCTTCAGGCTAGGTAGAATTACTACATTTCTTGCTGTCTTGCGAGTTGCTTTCAAGAATGTCTAGGGGAGGAAAAGAAAAACCTGGGGAAGAGAGAAGGGAGGAAAGAGAAGGAAATGCACAAACATCCGTGTGTCACACTGTTTACTGCCAAAAGCCACTCCCAGGACTACATGAACCAGAACTGAACACTGGAGTCCTAGCCCTGTGATGTATTTGAGCAGTTTCAACACATCTTTGCTCTACTGGTTTAGGGAAGGAAAACAGTTGTTTATTATATTATGTAGTGTTCTTTTTTGAAATTTTTATCTCAAACGTGTAAATACGTGTTAATGCTGTGCATTAATACTCTTTCTGTACAGCCTAATTTTGACTGATCACATTCTGATTATCTTCTGTGCTTTGTGTAATAAGCAAATGATACATACAAATTCTCCTACTGCAGTTTGTATTCATTGTGTATTTGTTAAGCATCATTAATGCTCTTAGGTCCTCCCCTCTCTCCTCCCATTTCTTCTCCTCTTTCCTTCTCCATGTTCTTAGTGGTATAATCCTAAAAGGTGGAAAAAAATTAATAGGGGAAAAGGAAATGCTTACAATGTTGGTAACTGTTTGTCATGGAGTTTCTGTAACTAATTCATAGTAATAAATAATAGCTTGCAGTTGTTTCTAGTATGCCTAGAACTTGTGCTGCCTCAATTTTGATTGTCAAGAATTTAGATGGATTTTTTCCAATTGATTTCTGCCCTCATTTCAGATGGAAGACCCACAAATGGCGCAGGTGCCAGCTGGTACCATGGTATGTGCGCCAAGACAGTCCAGGAGCACATGAGACTTGTGGACCTGGGCTACAAGCAAGAGGTTAGACCCTTTCTTTTGATCCTTTATTCCTCAGAAGTCTGTAGGTGCGCTGGTGTGGGAAATCTGTGAGAAATGCCTCGAACGTTTAGTCGTTATGACTAAACGCTAGTTTTACCTAACTTTATGGGCATCAGCAGAGGAAAGTACTGGATGCTCGTATGGTGGGGTACATCCCAATCAGTATTTGGCAAATGTTTTGTTCATAAAATATCCATTTTAATTTATATCTAAGTATTGATGGCACACTAGAGACTCGTTCGTGGTATTGTTAGTTCAGCTTATTTCACCATCCTTATCTGAAGCAAATGTGCAGAGGTGTTTGTCGAAAGTATGCTTTCAAAAACTAATGCTCTTAAAAAAGAAGAAAAAGAAAAAAATACGTCACTTTACATGCTTCTTTTTATGGAAAAGTTTATGTAAATTCAGTGACGTTTCTCATATAGCAAGGATGTGAACACATTTTTATGAGTTATATCCGTTAAGACCAACTGTGAGACTTTTGCTCCCTGTAAGTGCTCGTTCTATGATTTGGCATCAGAAAATCCCCAAATAATTTCAGCTGGAAGGAAGCTCTGGAGCTCACTTGGTCCAGCCCTGCACTCAGAGTAGGGTCAGTTTCAAAGTTAGATCCAAGCTGGAGCAGGTTGCTCAAGGCCCTGTCTCACTGGGTTTTGAATATCTCCAAGGATGGAGATTCCCCAGCCCCTCTGGGCAACCTGCTTGACTACTCTTGCTGTGAGAAATGTTTTCCTAATACCTAATCTGAAATTTCCCTTGTTTCAGCTTGTGCCTATGGCCCCTTATCCTTTTGCTGCATACCTCTGAGAACGGTCTGGCTCTATCTTCTTCAGAGCCTTTCATTAGGTGGCTGTGGGGAGCAGTAAGACCCCAGTGTGGGGTTACTTACCTGGGAGGGGCAGGACTTCACGTTTACCGTTCTTGGACTTGCATGTGGTTTCTGCTGGCACATTTCTCCAGCCTGTCAAGGTCCTCTGACTGGCAGCGCTACCCTCAAACATACTGACTGCTCCCCTCAATTTGGTGTTCTCTGCAAACTTGCTGAGGGTGCTTTCCTTATAGGTTGTTACAGATGCTATATAGAATTGGCCCTGGAATTAATCACTGAGGTGCAACACTCTTAAAGGCTGGACATGAAACCACTGACCCTTTGAACTCAGTGATCCAGACATCTTATCACTAATTTCCATTTAATAACAAATACATCAGCCAAATCCAGCTTTACCGTCGCCTATCTTAAGAGAGAATTTCAGGAGTTTATTGGAATTGCATATGTATAGTAGGGAGATTTTTTTAGGTGTATTAAATAAATTCAATATGAAAATAATTACTGTTCTTACTTTACTATGTTACAGTAATTGAATTGCTTTGAACTACTAGGCAGCCTTGAATTTCAGGAGGTTTTTTGCCTTTTCTGAGTGCAAACTCCAATCCATTATAGCATTATTGGCTCAGCAGATTGCAAAAGTCCTGACCAAGGTCATTGCTAGCTACAAAAGTGAAATGTTCTGGTCATTAACTTCCTTGCAATATTAAAGTAGGTTATGCTATTCTTTAAAAAAAAGTCATAGGGTAAATCTTAAGCTAGTAACTTCTACGACTTACTCAGAAGGTGCTAAAGGAGATGAGTTTAAAGCTTACCGCATAATGAAACCTGAAGGTCTTGCCTGCTAATACAAAAGACTTGTGACTGTGGTAATTCTTACAATGGTTTGTCACTAATGCAGTCTATTTCTAGCAGCTCAGGAGGATACATTCAGATTACACACTGAGAAAATAAGATTTCTGTCCTTGATGGTTGGAGTTAAGGATAGTACAAAACGTTGTACTTACATTGTAGTACCCAAATCTATTGACTTTGCCTCAAAGTTAGTTAACAGAGAAAGACAGCTAATTGTAGGGTATGGAAAAAACTGTATTATTATTGTATGTTGTGAGGGTTTCCAATCTACAGGTTTTTCTGTAACTGCAGTCGTGTCCAGTATACCCACATACTGAGTAACACATGGTTTTTGAATTACTGTGAATATAGTTTTTAAACATGGTAAAATAGACAGGCAGAGATTCCTTCTGGTATTGCACACAGTTGCAAGAGTTTGATAATGCAAAGGATGATGCATTGAAGCAGGACCCTTGTTCCTACATGCAGATGTAATAGAAGCTAATGTAGCTCTCCAGTGTGATGGTAGGATGAGCTCTCCTTAGTTAAGAACACTGGAAGCTGCTAAGCCTGAAGAAAGCAGGTTTTTCCGGTAGAATTCTGCAAATGTTTCTGAGCTCGAATGTTAGAAAGGGGAGATTTTTGTTTGCGTTCTCTTTTTAATAACTCTTTCTCATGTGTAATTTTTATTGTAAAACTCATAGAGAAAGTTAGTTAAGTTGGATAATCAAAGTCTCAGTCCAAGAATCTAAATGTGAGTCTTGTCTAGCCTGTTCAAGTGATAAAAGTTACATTTTTGGCTTTGTGTAAATAAAGTTTCTACAGAGCATGGAAAACTTTGCATGATAATATGTTGTTAGAAGTTCTGTACTATATGATCATTTATTGAAAGACTGTTTTATGATGTAGATACAGAAAAAGACAAAGTTAGTACTTTGCAAGGACTTTTAACTGTAAGCATCCCAAAGTCAGGAAGTGCTAAATCTTAAGATATGAAATCCTTTGGTTTAGTATTTTGATATTGCACTTACAATATGGTACTGGGATGCAAATATTTTGAACAGAATATTTTAGCATTTGCTGGTGGTCACTCTGCACAAATGTTTACGATAACGTGAAAATGTAGAAATAGCAGCATTTCTTCTTCAGTCAAACAAGAGTTCTCTCTGATATTTCTGATCCTCATGAAATCACAGTCATTCATCTGTTTGTAGTAGTTTACCTTTGATAACAAAGTAAAGCAATAATCTTACAGAAGTAATCCCAGCACTTTGTGTTTTAGTGAATTGTCACTTTATTTTGTACCAATATGCAGTAGAGCAAGTAATTGCATTCTTGTATTTGAGAACAATTCTCAGTTCTTCTTTTTCAGTGCTAGAAGATGTTGCCAGAGCTATTAAATTATCCTATTTCTGATGTGACTGCCTACACATGAACACTATAGCACATAATGTAGCAGCAAATGTGTTAAATACAAAGGAATGTGTACCAGAGAATGGCACATCTGAATATTCATTAATTAGCAGTTTATTCTGAGCAAAATATTCTGTACTGTTCATAGTTTAATTAGAAAGATAATTACATCAGAAGAAAAAATTAGAAGTAATTAAAAATGGGTTCTTACAGGTCTGATTTTAACAGTCTATGAAAGAAGTTAGAGCATATGCATGTCTTGCTTTATATCACTGCTCTACTATTCACATTTCTGTTCTTCAGCTTTTTTATTACATTGTTCTTGCTTGACAGAAGAGATACTCGGGTGAATCATAAAATTTAGGGCTGAGTGACAGCTCTGTTTCTAGTTGTCCTGCATAATGAAGATTTTGATATAAATGTCAGTTTAAGTGAACATGTCACAATTTTAGAACTTGGGTCAAAGCAGAGGAAAGAGAAGAAAAGTTTATGGGGTATTTTTTGGTTAACAAGAGCAAATTCTTTTTAGTATTTTTAAAGAAGGGAGCATGCTAATTATTCATGCAAATGATGGACAGCTATTTATAGCTAAACCCAAGCATAATAACAGAGTATTTAATATCCAAGCAGCAAATTCATTGTTATAACCATGGTGATTGTGTTGCATTTTTATTATGAATGATAATTTGCCATTGTTTCACTGGCAAAATACCTCTTTAACAGTGGATGAGCAGAGCAGGAGTGTATTCTGTAACTTGCAGTAACTTAAGACTTCTACCTTTCTTTTGTTTAAAACCCCTACTAAAGAATAAAATGTGTGCATCAGCGAGAAGTTTGAAACTTGCATTTGACCCTGTCCAACAGCAGCAAGAAATAGGGACAACAGCAGTTGTTAATTAACAAGACTAAATTAGCCAGATGTCTTGGTGAGTCATAGAGCAGTCCCCTGAAACCCAGGAGGGAAAGGCATGGAGGACTGGCAAATACAAAGGAGAAAAACTGGGACAAAAAAGCAAATGCTTGATAAAACCAAGCTATGAGAATTTGACTGAAGTGAGGTGGACTATAAACCTCACTATGAGAGGGACTGGTTTCAGCTGGGGTGTGCTCAAAGATACAAAGGCTTTCTAGTTCTTAGAGCTGACGTAGGTAACTTCAAAATGTCTGCTCTATGAGATAGGTTAAGTTTGAAATTGTGAACACTTTAAACAGGTATCCTTTCTACTATGCTTATGTCTTGCAAAATCTGTGACAGTAAACCTCAGTTTCTGTAAATTCTGAAGAAACTTAGAAATACATTTCAAAAACATTTTGAATTGCATATAAAAGCCTGGGAATCTTGCTTACTTACAACAAGTAAGAGTTGTTGGACTAAATCCCAGTCCTGGTAAAGAGGACATGTAACAGATGAAAAGAGGTAATGCCCGAACTGCACTAGCCTAATCACGTCATGACATGTATGGATGGATGGATGTACAGGGAAAAGCTGTCCCAGCGATTGAGAAGAGATATGCAAAAGGGTGTGCAGCCTGCAGTCCTTGCCACCATCAGTCTTCCTCAGAGCTTTGTTAGAGGAATGGGATGAAAACTGTGAAAGCTGCCAATGTTCTCTATAGCAAGAGGAAGGTTATTTATAAAAATTTAAGCAGAAGCTTAAGCAACGTGGCTGCCAGATAAAATATCTCTGAATAGCTGTACTTGATGTAGCTGGGAGGTGGCCATTTTTAAAGACCTTCTGGTCCTGAGCGCTCTCGCTATTCTTCACTCTTGAGGGTGTACGGAGAGTCATTTGGAAAACAGGGAAGTGAGGGAATTGGAGGAAACATCCTGGGATCAGCGTAAGGCCTCACGGGGACATCGGAGATGGGGGGCAGCTTGGAGGCGGCACTGGCAGCCGACCGCCCAGGCTTTCCTCTCTCTGTCGCTGGGCACGGGTGGCAGCCTCCCTCTCTGGGCAGTACTTAAGTCTTGTACTTATCCCTGCTGGAGATTTGCTCTTGTGGTGGCTTCATGCCCTCACGGAAACCACAAGAAAGAAGACAAAATCGTAAAGGAGGAGTGCTGCATGAAGGAATCATAAACTACTATTTTAATGTAGTTAACACCGCTAACAGAGCGCTCTGTCATCAGCTTCGTGTTTTGAACGCTGCAAAAGACAACAGGCAGCTTCGGGTTTTGTACTGAAGTACTCAAAAGCAGAAGGTTTTATATGAGAAATGAAATTTTTGTTGACAAAATCTCCAGACCACTTTTCTCAGCGATAACAGACTGGTACTCTCTGGAGCACATAAAGAACTCTCAGGTTTGCATTTTCACAAAGCAGTTGGTACGTGCCTCTTAACATACTTACTGAGAGAAATATTTCATCTTGCACTTGTCCAAGCTGCCATGTCCCACAGAGACAGAAACAGATATTGATGAAGTCCTAGCCTGGGCAGCACTGATATTAACGGTAAGAAACATTATAGGGTCCTTGGTTAATTCTTGTCTTTCTAGAAATGAACTAGAATATTTCTGCTATTAGAAATATTTAGCAATTGAAAAAATAGTAGCACAAATGTATTGTAAAACACAGGATTTCAGAGCACTTTAATTTATAAAGTACTGTAATTTTTAGCTGTTGGTGTCACTGAACCTCACATCTCAGTGAAATCTTGGTGAAGTATTTTATTGATGGGAACAACACTGACAAGAATTTTTACGTAGGCATGCACGTTAAAAAAACTTATTAAAATATCATCTTACTGTTTCTTTATGCAAAGAAAAAAATATAGTAGACTGTAGTCCCCTGCGGGTTAGTTCAAGCAATGCTATCAGGTAAAGCTTTAAGTACGTCAAAGTTCCTTGTCTAGAAAATTTAGACTGCCATTTATATCACATCTTTCTTTTGGGAGTTACTAATTGTTAAATATCAAAACAGTTTCTAAGTGAATTGTTTCTGTGTTAAATTTGATTTTTCTGTTAACTGTATTCTTGTGTTTTACGTTTTCACTTAACTGTTACCTGTGCTTAATTCAGTAGTAGAAGAAGAACCACATTTTTCCACTTACTGCTAATGTCTACAATAAATATGATGTGGTTGTATAGGCAAAATAATTAGTCTGGCACTGCATGGCTTTATAGTAGTTGAAGACATTGCTCCTTACAGTGAGTTAATCATTGATCTCAGCTGACTTTTACAGAATATAATTAAAGAACTACAATTTGATCAGAGACACAGGAGACAGGTTTGCCCAAATGAGACTGTGTATGGAAAAAAGTAAATTATATTCTTAACATCTCCACTGATGGTAAGGGCGTTGCGGATGTGAAAAAAAGGACATCTACCTGGCCAAAATAACGCATTAATGCTATATATACAGTTGTCAAAAATCCCTGCTTTATATCATGGAAAATAGCCACTCTTCTAGTGTTCACGAGAGGTGTAAACTCTCAAATAGATGGCTGAACCCACAGAATAACAATTATAGAAGGGAATATAGAACAATCATTCAGGCCTTGTCAACTAGAAATAATGTGAATGGTTATGGACAGGCACTGTGCAAATTAAGATTCAAGAATTGCTTTGGTATGCCTAGCTGTCCTTTAGTAAGTGTTATTATTGAGATGAAATATTTAAGTCTCAAGAATGCCATGTTTTCCTGCTTTGATCGCTACAGTACAACTGACAGTTAATCTGGACAAAAGAAATAAAGTGTTAATCCCAAGGGGAGCTTCTTACTTGGGTCTGCTTGATGTAAATTAGATGCACTAATATAATTCTGAAAAAATGTATGACAGAGTGAATATCTGCCTATCGAGTGATGTTTAATAACCAGGAAAGATGAATATTGGTTTTAGAAAAACTCAGTTTAGCTAGAAAGTATATTCTCCAATGGACATTGCTTATGGCCTATCAAAAGACTAGGTAAAGACAGGTTTCCGAAAGGCAGTATCTAAAATGAGTATTAAACTTTCAGGGGTAGTTATTAAAACTTACTGGCTTAATCTGTGGGCCATCGTTTAGCCCCTAGCTAGGAATAGTGGCCTGTATCTCAGGGACAACACAGTTAAGTTAATGCAATTAGTTTTACTGATGCATGCATGTGCCAAGGTCAACCTCAAGACAGAGGATTTCAGTTTGACCTCTGTGAATTTCCACATGGCAGAACTTGTCCATACTGTGTTTTTACCTCTGGGCGTCTGATGTATGTTATTAGCAGGAAAGAATCTCTCAGAAGAATGCAAAACCATAAGCTCGGCCTGCACTTGAAGATACTGGTCTGACTTGTGTTTTTCCGTAATGTTTAGACAAGAATAGAAGTCCTATAGTAGGTACAGTTAACACATTATTAAAATAGTTGTTATATAGATTTTTAATTTTCAGATATTTAGTTTTTCTCATTGAATCACTAGAATTATATTTGAAGAAAGAGGTTTTTTTCCATCATATAATCTACACCAGTAATAACAAGATTTGATAGAATAATTGTATTAGACAATGTACAGCTGGTCAATCCACCAGTAAGCGCAACTTAATGCAGTAGTGAGCCTATTATAAACAGTGCTGGCAGTCCTACTCCAAAGGGCAGTCAAGGATCAGGGAAGTTGTTTGCTTAGCACTTTCGTAAAAACAAAAATCCCTCCTTTTCAATATGCTCTACCGCAGGCGTATGGCAAAATAATTCGTGTAGGACCTCTGGATATGTTTTAGTAGGCACACAGATTTGAAGAAGAGCATCTACATCATCAAGTTCAGCTTCCTGCAACAATTATGAAGTAGAGATTTAGTCTAGAACTGTCAGAAGAAAAAAAAAGGTTTTTTTTTTTTTTTTTTTCTAGGAGTCATTGGTCATCAAACCCTTCCAATTACATTGCAATAATCTTGAAAAAAAATGCTTTCCTCGAGTATTCTTACTTTTTCTTCTGTTTTCTTACAGGCAGTTTTCTGTTTTATTTTGAAACTTTGCATTTAAACACTTTTTTCTCCAACAGTTGAACCTAATGATACCATAATAGTTGGGTTAGTAACATCTACGTTTTTTTTCAATTCACATGCCAATAAAACAATTATTGTCAGTACAATAGAAGTACTATATTTAAATTATGGAGCAGAGTATAATATAAAACGTGATAGTCCCTCAGGTGCAGAGAACGATATATTGTATTTGGATGCAATATTACTGCAACAATTGGTAATCCAAATTACTTTCACAGTCATTATGAGATACTGCATATACTGTGTGCTGTCAGACACCAAGAAGCATAAATATCATTCCATTGTGTAAACAATACAACTAGAAGTTTCCAGTCTTGTTGCTGCATAATAGCTTGTTTGTTGTTTTGGGCTAGGAAATAAAATGAGATTTACTGGGGCTTGTGATTAAAATAATAGATAAGGAACAGTATTTAAAAAAAATAAATTTATCCATGAGGAACAGGAATAGGTTATTGTTAAAGACTATACATCCTGATATTAATGAAACAGCCCTGTTTGTTGTAATAATCTAATGTTCTAACAATTTTCCCTTATGACATCGGAAGTTTTCTTAAGAAACCATTTCTTTTCTTATAAGTAAGAAGCTTTTATTCAGGACATGGGTATCCTATTATGAAACATTGTGTCCCTATTGGATGATACTCGATCCCAGCAAACATGTTTTGTTCTTCAGTCCTTTGTTCAAGACTGAAAATTGCAAAAGCGTGTCAGGCAGCAATACTGCTGCAAGTGGCTAAGCAGCCTGCGGTGTCCAGAACTCAAATGTGTTTCTAAATTTTATGTCTGACCCTTCTCTAAAATAGATGCTACTGATACACGTATTCATCTTGATAGCTTATACGTTGTTCAGCTACTTAAAATAGCACTGCAAGTTTGTAATGTCTGAGTTTTGGTGCATCTCTGTAGGAAAAATGAAAATATGAAAAGTAGTATGGTGCAGCTGGTATGGATGGTAGCGTTCAACCCCTTACAATATTTGCAGTTGTCTTTTAAGGTTTTTTTTTTCCTGCTAAGTATTGGGAATGAAATAACAATTGAAACATAATCTCAAAAGGTCACTCAGAAATTTCAGTTGTAAGATACAAGTGATTGCAAATGTTAGGTTGTTGTATCGCACACAGCGGTTCTGGGTCTTCTGTGCAATTTTGGGGTAGAACATTGTTCGACTTACTAAATCGAATAGGAACATTCATGAATACCTGCTGAATTTAACTCCATCCTATTTTGTTTGCAGCAATTACTTGTCGTAGACAAGATGGAGGGCAGGCTGACATCAGCGAGTGCCTTAAACATGCTGGCCCATTACCGTCCTTAACACAGACGTGCCAGATTCCTTGCCAAGACGATTGCCAGTTTACAAACTGGTCAAAGTTTTCTTCCTGTAATGGGGACTGTGGAGGAGTCAGGACCAGAAAACGCACTCTTGTTGGTAAGAATGACAAGAAAAACGGTATATCTTTTATGAGTTGTTGCTACTGTTGTGATTAAAGCGTATGTTTTTCTGAGGTTTCCTTATGCAAGCAAGCATTTGCCATCAGGGGTGGAAACGGCACCAGTTTTCACTGTCATGCTCTATATATCTTTAATGGGACTAAAAAAAAAATCTCAAAAGAACAAAATCCTGGCATACGTGTCAGCCTCTTGATCGTAAGGAAGGAAAAATCCCATGTTAATGGCCAAAGGGAATAGGGAATAGGATATGGAGCCACTGCTTCTTCCCAACTGACTGCACACAGTAAACTGCAAAGTAGTGCATTTGTTTTTCTGACAGGTAAGTCAACGTTGTCTGTAGTTCCAGGGGGGTTAGACATGTAAAGCAGCATAATTAACCAACAATCTGAGCCAGAGTGTGTGGGGAAAAAAAAAATCTTTACCTGCACATTTGTTGAGTGCCTCTGTTATCATTTGACCAAAAGGAGCACAATCGTCGGTTACTCACAAGTTTTTCATAACTTGCCTATTCTGCAGCCTTCTGTTCCGAAACACCCCTTCCTCCTTCAACTTTTTTGTTTTTTATCTGCTTCTTTATTTCTGCGGTGTGAAAGGAGAAGAAAAAAAGATGCTTTGTTCCTAAATTATATGTGAACCCTTAAGGGTGAGACCTGGCCTCTGTCACAGCACTATTTGCCAATTAGTCAGTATTGTCTGTTGTGGAGGAAAGCTAGCTAAGGGGGGTGCCCATTAGCAGCGTTAGGAGGAGTGTGACGGGGATACAAACCCTGTCCCCCCGCCATCCCCCTGTAAATCAGAAGACCCATGGACAGTGAATAATTCATAATCTTCAGGAAGGCTCACTGTGTGACTGTCTTATAACGCCAGTGAACTTTATGCCAGGTTTGCTTCCACGGAGAAAAAAATCCCTGACTACAATTTTTTGCTTTAAAAACAAAGCAAGAAAGAAGAGTCTCATCTCTAACCACAGTATTAGCACTCTGAGGTACTTCCCTGGGCTGAGTTAAGCCGCTCTGACAGACTCGCTAAGGCTCTGTTTTTTCCTGTGGTGTGTTCTGGGTTACAGCATCTTGTCCACGCTAATACCTAAAGCTAACTGGAGGTGAATTCATAATTATTTGTCGGGAAAAGATGCAGAGGAAGAGGACTGTATTTTTAGTGTGCAGTTGTGTTATCAAAAAAAAAAGAGAAACTTCTCTTCCTAAAGTACCTTGCTTCCATTTTAAACTAAGACAATAGTGAATATAAGCACTATCCCAAGGGTGCTGCAAAGTTATGTCTGCAGCTTTGTTTTGAAAAGCAAGGAAAATGATGCAGAATATTCATTTATAGTCTCATCTCAGTAACAAATATTTTTTAAACTACTTTTGCGAAGACTCCTACAATAATACATGAGTTGTCTAATAGGGAAATATACCTAGGAAGGAAATAAGAGCAAATTTTACCAAAGAGAAAATGGTTGGTGGGTGAGAGGTGAGTGGACTGCAGTTGGGGAAGGAAAACAAGTTGCTAGAAGGTACTTGAAAAGAAATTAAGTTTACTGAAGAAGTTATTTCATTAGAGGGGAATAATGATAATTATTAATGAATGATACGATACATGTAATGAAATTAAAGGATTTTGACATGTTGAAAGAATGCACTGCTATAACAGAGAGGCATGTTACTTCCTTTTGCAATTTCCTTTAACTTGAGAAAGTTTTATCTATATAATGTGAGAGACATTATTTACTGGACTCTATGTAGACTGATGGTGAAATAAGGGGTAAAGAGCATATTTTTTTATTTGCTAACATTTTCAAACTGGATGCCCTAAGCTCTTTTATTTGAATTAAACATAAAAACGTGGCTTTATCTTAAAAGATGTTGCCTTTTTGCAAACTGTAGGCATGCATTGCCTTAGAAATTCAAGTTATTAACCTGACTGATTGAATAGAGGTTAATGTAGCTCTTTTAAGGCATATGTATTTAATTTCAAGCACCTATATTTGCAGACTTTGGGCTTAGCTTTGTGTCCTTTGGTGGTTTTATGTTGAAGTTACTGATGGCTAAATGAATTTGGAGGGGGAGATGTAAACTGATACAAACTTTCTAAAATAATGCTCTCTTCTTTCTAGGAAAAAGTAAGAAAAGGGATAAATGCAAAAATTCTCAGCTGTATCCTCTGATTGAGAATCAGTTTTGTCCTTGTGACAAATACAGTGCTCAGCCCGTGGGAAACTGGTCAGACTGTATATTACCAGAGGGTAAAGTGGAAGTATTACTGGGAATGAAAGTACAAGGAGACATTAAAGAATGTGGACAAGGCTATCGTTACCAGGCCATGGCATGCTATGATCAAAACAGTCGGCTTGTGGAAACATCACGATGCAACAGTCACGGTATTGAGAAACCTCTGTTCTTTCATCTCTTTACTAATCTGCCTTACTTTATTTAACATAATATCCATACAGGCAGAAATAGCAGATTAATATTTATTACCTAGGCTGCTTTTTATCACGAGATACCTTCAAACCCAGCACACGTTTTATACACTTCTAAAAAGTAAGATTCTTCAGACATACAAAGTATAGTTTATTTTTATTGATTGCTACAGTGCAATATCTAAAAGTAAAATGACGATAAATTACCAACTAAGTGTTTTATTAGATAAAAGTCGAATCTTGTCGTTTTTCCTGGTAACTGCACCTGTGTATGGGAGAATAAAGCTATTTAGGAGGGTCAAAACCTCAAAAAACAAAAAGGCACAGCACAGGCTGCTCCAGCCTTTTGCAAAGGGTGAAGTTATTTCCCTGAAGTACAGAGTCTTCAAGTAGTTTTAATCTTCTTAAATAGCCTTATCTTTGCCCTTTCCTCTTCAGGACTTTAGTAGATATGTGTTGATCTGAGTTCAACAGCACACACCACTTTCCTGTCTAGGTGTCGTTCTCAGTTTCATAGGTCAAGGTAGGCTGTCTAAAGACTTTACATTCTTTGTATTCACATTGCTCTTGGAGGGGACAGTTTTCTTCAGAAATGTTCTCCTTCCTAAAGTGGATGCATCTATAGTGTTAGGAACAGAACTGGAACTTTCTGGCTTCTGTGAGCCAGAAGTGTGCTGATGTACATCACCAAAGTTTTTATGTTAGTTTGTTTTCTTGCTTGCAGAGCAAAACTGTATCTTGAGCTATTGATATAAAGAGCTGGAGGTTAGTCTCAGTGCCATTAAAAGATCACCTTGAGTTTAATTTGTATAAGTACTTTAATTTATAAAGTTAAATTCAGATACTAGAAATGTCATTTATTTACCTAGATGACGTTAAAATAGCTAATCAAAAAAACTGAATGACTGAAGGGTTTTTTAATTAGCACTATCAATTCCTGTTTAGAACTTTGCTCATGATAAATGATAAACTGACTATATCAGCCAGACTCTGCGTATCTTTGTCGTGAGATGGAAAAGTGGTCACTGGTCTCAGTATCTTAAAGCAGAGCTGGAAGATAATTATGTGATGAATTTTCTCCCGTGATTACTTTTATTCAAAATCTGTTTTTACTTTAGTTAATTTGTACTGAAGGATGAATAGTAAACAACTAAAATTCTTATAACTAAATTTGAGTAACAAAATTGGATCATTTTTTCAGATTACTGTTTTCTTGATCTATGTGTCACTTTGGAATGACTACAAAACATCACCACTGTAAACTCTCATGGGACAAGAAAACCCTTTCCCTTTCAACTCTGAGTACTTCTAATGTTCTTTAATTATATTCTCAGCTGCTTGCACTGGGTACTGATATCTGCAAAGAATGAAGCCAATTCCCTGTGTTTGTCCTTTTGTACGTTCTAAAGAGGAGAGAGAGCAAGCGCAAACTGCGCTTACGTGGCCTGACCCGGACCATTTGCCACCTTTGTCGTACCAAAAAGTCCAGCTACTCTAACGACCGTCTGTGTGAGCACAGACCTGCCTGGGCCTGATAGCAGTCCTGAGGGAATTGGAAAACTCCCCAGAAAGATGGCAAGGAAAGCTGAAACAGAGATGTGAAACAATCCTGATTGTTCAGGAAGCCACCATTAGAAAACCGCAGAACTGAGACTTACTAATTTCCTTTTCCTGGGAGTGGGGGAGGGAGGTGTTTCTACTTTTTACTCTAATTTTGCACTTGTGACCATGGCCTGCAGCAAGGCAGTAACTGATGATTAATTTTCATTTTTGCCTGTGATTTTCTCAGATTTGTGTGTTTGCTTATTTTTTTAATTTATTTAGTAAAACCAAGAAAGCCAGACCCACCCAATGTTAGAAGCAACGCTGAGCCTAGAGAGACCTTGGTCAATGTACAGTGGAAAACAATAAAAGAACAGAAATCCTTGGGAAGCCAGAGTGACTGATCTCCTAATATCAGTCGTCATTGCCTTTAAAAGTAGGGATTGTCATGTTTTGTGTCCACAGCAAGGGGATGATAATATGTGAGAGAAGCAGAAATTGTCTATCCAAAAGCAAATCATAGGTGCTGTACATGGTAGGTAACATACTGCTTGAGGTAACTAGCAGAAAAAGATGAGAACTATTCCTTTGCCTAAAAAACGTTGGATTTAGCCCCCTTCAAGCCTTGGTAATGCACTTTGAGAAATCAGTGCTTGCCATAGTTTTACAAAATGGGAAGTCATCTGAATATCTGCTTCTCATTTTGCTTCTTAATCCCAAAGAGTAAATGTAAAATGTAACTTACTCAACATGCAGCATGAAACGATAGGGTTGAGAGACTTGTCTCTTCCAGATGCCGAACCATGTTGCAGTGGAACGTAGAATTTTTTTAAGAAGTTACAGAACTCAGGTTTTCCACCAAGCATCCTTGGTTTGGCCTCTTTCTGCAGAGTACCCAATGTCCTGCCTTTATTGTGTGCTTTCCTTGTTGCTGCAGTGCTTGATGCACATACCTCAAGTGTATTCCTTTGTCCTTAAAATTTTCATTTTAACGCAGTTGGAGGTCAGTGTGTTCCTTTCTGCAGTAAGCTCGACAGTAGCAAACACCTTAAACCTATAAACAACCCAAAGGAATTGCATGGCAAAGTATCAGAGAAAAAAAAGGGGAATAAAAAAATGGAAAAAGCATATTCTCAACAATCTGCATCTTTGTTTACCACTTTTAATGATAGTCATCCCTGATGAAGCAATTTCCAGTCTAATGGATTATCAGTGAATATCCCTTACACTCGCAGTGACCTCAGTGAATAATATTTGGTGCAAAGCTACTGATAATATATTATTATTATACCTACTATGCCCAGAGCTACCGTTTATATGCCATTAGCACAAGTAAGCTCCAGAGACAATCTTCCCAAAATACGGTATAGCATTGCTTTGTTTTGTTTTTCTTTCTACAGTTTGATCCCATTTTTCTCACTGCAGATCTGAGGTCTCGTTTTGCTCCCTTTGCATATTGGAAATATTTGTGAGCCATTACTATGTTTATTTTTGTTTGGGAAGGCTGAGCCCTCTGGGTTTTTTTTAGTTCTCTTTCTGTAAGTCAGTTTATGAACATTTCTGGTTCTTTGATTCTTCCCCCCCTCCCCATTTCATTACATCTTTTTGCTAGTGAAGCACTTCAGGCATCTATGTGTGTTTTCTCATCGGTCGCATTTGAGGGAGAGAGCATCTTTTTATTGGTCCAGGCATCGACAGATGCAGCTTGCAACTGCTGTAGAACTAATCCTGCTTTCCTTGCGCATCCTAGAATTGTTTGATAGGATTTTCAGGTGTACAGAAAATACGATATCTAAACTAACTTTGATGCTAAGGAATAGGTCACTAAAATTATGGTTTCTTTTTCACTCACTCTTCTAGAACAAGCATCTCTTATTGATAAGTGTTGTATACACACAGGGTATAGATAATTTCTAAGGCTTACCTGATTTATTGTCTACCTCCAGCATTAACATTTTCCCAGGCTTCGCATACTTTTGCAGTTACAGAGGGGCTATAACAGTTGAATTAGATGTTTCAGTCAGATATGAGTATGTGTTTGCTGCCTTTTCTGAATCTCTCTTCTGTATTCGTGCATTACATTCCAATGGTTTGTTTTATTTTTCTCTGCGTGTGTTAGCGGGCATTTTGCCAGTCAAATCTTTTTTTTTATCTTGCCAGTATTTATGATGTTTTTGTTGTTACTTTCATGCCTTTAGCATACAACAGTCTTCAGTTTGGCATCATCTCTAGATTTCAGTGTGCTATTTACTTTTGTCTTTAAGAATAAACATAAAAGCTATGTAATGCCAAATCAACAAGGGAGTTCAGTGGTATCCCAATGGTTACCCCACCTGCTAGCAAATAAAAGTGCCTTGTAGCTTCCCATCAATCTCCTTTTAGTTTTTCAGGCTAAACCTGACAGGACTCATAATTCAAGCCTGCTTGGGATATTCGTGCAAAGACTCGCAGAGTTGCTTATTTCCCTATAGAAATGATAGCATTGAATTTTTCATTAATTTTGTAACTGATCCAATGAAAAAGAGTCAATTTAGTGTGCTATGCGATGTGCTTTCTTCGGAAATCTGTTCTATTGTTAGTTCTTGTGAGTCTGTTATTTCTTTTGCAAATAGCACAGTATTTAATCGCAATTATATTGCAATTTTTACGAAACATAATTGCAAATTGTGCAAATTGCAATATCGTGCAAATTAGCTGTGACTAGGAGAAGAGATATCAAGATCAGTATTTAAGGAAGACATGTCCTCTGTATGTGCTCAACTTTTGCTTGAATTTTCATTCTAATGACGCTATGAAATCAAGAGATATGACATGGGGATAATTATACTTCTTCACCTGTGATAATATCCTCTAAATTTTACAAGAGGAACAAACTAGAGCCCCACCAATGCTATTAATATATCCCGTGATATACTAAAATGCCACAGGAAATTCGGATTGTGAGACTGTCAGAAGTTTTATGTAGATGCTGCCTTGTAAATTTATGCGGCTATGGATAGGTTTGTGTTGGAAGTCACACTGTTTTGAGTGGGAGGACTCAGAAGACAGATCTGCTCTGCAACGCCAAAACATTCTTAGCTGTTTGTTTCGTGAAAGTTTTTGTGTTTATAATCACAAGTCAGTTGACTTCCTCAGGAAAGAAACACTAAATGGAACAGAAAAATTAATACTTTAGAAGAATTAATACTTCAGACCTCTTTGTACTGCTTGACACATCTCATTTTCAGTAGATTCAAGAAGAGTTGACTTTCACAGGCACTGAGGAGCTAAAAGGACGGGTCCAACACAAAGGAGACTCCTAAATTAGTAGACCCATAAGAGAATTCTTGTTATACTCTTTGGAATTTTGGGAGTAGTCATAAAATCTCAAGTACAAATAGGTTTCAAAAACTCAAGAGTGGACAATAACTCTGAAG